CTCTGTTCTCACGCAAAATATTGTTACCTAAGTAAATGTCGACTGTTTTATCGTGATGGTCCAATTCATGCGGGAAGACTAAAAAGTTTGTAAGGACGCTGACACCATTTTCGAAATCTATCTGTACGTTTTTCAACTTCAACAGTCGAACAGATTTCTCTCCTTCCCACAAGACTAATTTCGTGGTGACATAATCGTCAACATATTTCAATAGATCCAGTTCTTTCGCCCCTTTGTGTGTGATGAGAATCGAAGTCGTTCCTGAATCAACAAACAAGGTACACAACTTGCCATTAACGACGGCATTTACGTTGTTCAAGTCATGGAGCGGAAGTTTCACCGCATTGCTGAGGTCAGGCGGCTGTGTTTCCCGTGGGGACGGGTTTAAGAAGAGGGTCAGGGTACCACCTGCAGACACTTGTGGACGTCGGCAAAGCAGTAGCTTCTTACTGCGTACTCGCTTACTCCTCCTGACCCCGAGAGGAGGCACTAACCTTGACCGTAACTGTTTATAATGCGTTATCTTAACCATACTTATGTTAAAGTCGTAAGTATATACAAATATATATATATATATATATAAATATATATATATGTATATATATATATAGAGAGAGAAAAACAGACGTGAATACTGATAACTCGGAGAGAATAACAATTATTATCCAGTCAATCTTACCAAGGAACACCTGACGGGGTTAAACTTAAGAGTATAATATATAAGATGATTGGAACATTTGACAGTGGTGGTGATGTGTGGGGGTAGTGGTGTTGTGTGGGTGTAGTGGTGATGTATGGCGGTAGTGGTGATGTGTGGGGGTAGTGGTGATGTGTGACAGTAGTAGTGGTGATGTGTGACAGTAGTTGTGATGTGTGACAGTAGTAGTGGTGATGTGTGACAGTAGTAGTGGTGATGTGTGACTAGTGGTGATGTGTGACAGTAGTGGTGATGTGTGACAGTAGTGGTGATGTGTGACAGTAGTAGTGATGTGTGGGGGTAGTGGTGTTGTGTGGGTGTAGTGGTGATGTATGGCGGTAGTGGTGATGTGTGGGGGTAGTGGTGATGTGTGACAGTAGTTGTGATGTGTGACAGTAGTGGTGATGTTGACAGTAGTAGTGGTGATGTGTGACTAGTGGTGATGTGTGACAGTAGTGGTGATGTGTGACAGTAGTGATGTGCACAGTAGTGGTGATGTGTGACAGTAGTGGTGATGTGTGACAGTAGTTGTGATGTGTGACAGTAGTAGCGATGATGTGTGACAGTAGTGATGATGTGTGACAGTAGTAGTGATGTGATAGTAGTGGTGATGTGTGACAGGTAGTGTGATGTGTGACAGTAGTGGTGATGTGTGACAGTAGTAGTGGTGATGTTGACAGTAGTGGTGATGTGTGACAGTAGTAGTTGTGATGTGTGACAGTAGTGGTGATGTGTGACAGTAGTAGTGGTGAAGGTGACAGTAGTGGTGATGTGTGACAGTAGTAGTGGTGATGTGTGACAGTAGTAGTGGTGATGTGTGACAGTAGTTGTGATGTGTGACAGTAGTGGTGAGTGTGTGACAGTGTAGTGGTGATGTGTGACAGTAGGTGATGTGTGACAGTAGGTAGGATGATGTGTGACAGTAGTGATGATGTGCGACAGTAGTAGTGGTGATGTGTGACAGTAGTGGTGATGTGTGACAGTAGTGGTGATGTGGACAATAGTATTGGTGATGTGTGACAGTAGTTGT